ATAGTAAATCACGAGTTCTGAGCCAAAAGTGCCTACCTTGGGTTTTACCTGACTTAACCGAAAAGAAAACCTCACCTTCGGCGCGAAGGCGGGTTGTAACATTAAGCTTTTTTGTTCAATTTCGCGGGCTTAGCCCGCGAAATAAGTTCGATTTCGGCGCACTGAACTAGGGCTGTCTTTAATAATAAATAATTCAGTTAATAACTCATAATGCACAATTTTATAAACTTCTGTGTGATATTCCAACTTGGAGCACACAGCTGCACATCTATGGTAAAACTATTATTAATTATGGTGCATGGCATTTTTTTCTCAACATATATTGCACCACACAGATTGAAAAATGACAAAATAAATTCATGTATAGCTAGCACATTCTCTTGACTATTATATGCCACCATATGTCCAACAAACTCCTTCATTGAGCTCATTTCTGACTGCCAACTCTTCTTATGATCTGATTTTGATCATTTAAAAAATTTTTAAATGACAATGATTCTTTCAATGTTAATGAACATGAACAGACAGACATTCTTAAAATTTCACCATACCTTCAAACATAATTTCATCACGCAAAATACATTCTCACTGTCTAAACTCTAAACATCAAATCACTTCAAGTTTTACATACAAGCCTACCAGCCAAGGTGCACTGACAGACTGACTTCTACAAAAAATACGATTGAAACATCGCAAATGTATCTCAAAAAGAATTAACCCTTCAAATTTGAATTTGAAAATTTCACGATAAGATAATTGAACAGCTATTGAAAAAATTGTGTGGCTATTAATCAACATGAATTTTTTAGGACAAGCATTTCAGCAGATAATTTAGTAGTTTAGTTTCCTCTTACCGAAAACAAAGACGAGCCTCAGAAATATTACTCCGATCCTACAATTTTAGGCTACCGAAGTTCCACGTTTACTGTAATGATAAAAAGTTCCCTCCAACATTCACGACATAGAGCTAAAAAGGAAGCACTGCAAAAATTATTTCAAACATTTCTTACACTAACGCTGTAGGAAAATATAAGCTTTGCTAAGCACACAGGTTGGAAGAAAAACAACGACCGCAATGGCCTCTACTGAGACTCTGAAAAGCCGAAATGCTCGCAGGAATGTACCTAACAAAATGGCGACAGGTTTCAATATTTATGAACGATCATAGGAACACGGTAAATATCATCTTAAAATTAAATTAAGCCATAACAAATGAAACAGATTATTGAAGGAATTGTGATTCTGATAATATTTTCAATGACGGCTTGAACTTTGTAGGACTTTCCGATGTTGGAAAAAAATCCTCGCGCGTTCACAGTGGGTTCACACGTGTTCACGTGCTTCGCTGGCGCAGTGCAAAACCAAACCAAAACCCAAGTCGTAAGTACTAAAACCCAATCCCAATTTTGGTTCTACAAAAAGTAGAACCCGAAGTCATTGACGTAGATGTAAACTTGGAAATGATGGAAACTTTTCATAAAAAATTTCTAGACTACCAGCAATAAGTTTCGAGACGTACAACATAAAAATGAAAGTTCCACCACGAGTCAGTACAAAAAATTTTTTCGAGAAATGTGTATGTTTAAAATATCTAACAACAGCAAATTAAAGAAAAAATAATGATAGCGCATTACTTGTAGGAATCTTAACAAAATTCAAACATAATATTCCTCGAGACTAAAGTAAATAAAAATTACTCATCACAACTGACACTTTTCAAGTTCAATTTTGCACACTTAAACATAAGACATTACCAAGTATAAAAAATTAGCCGTTAAAACTCATACTAGCTCTTTAGCTTGAGATTTTATTCAAGGCAAGCAGGCGAAAGTTTGTCGGAGTACATCAAACTAAAATAAAGTTATCTGCTTTCATAAAAAATTTCTAATCAATTGTTTTAAAAAAGAAAGTATGCTTCGTTCAAATCGCCAACAAACGAAGAACTCTCATTGAGACCTCTCAAACAGATTTCAGTTAACAATTATTGAATGATAAATGGCAACCTCAACATAGTGCTTTATTGTGCCCTTCAATCTTATCTTGAAAATATAGAACTGGGTATTCGCAATTTCTATTCAACCTCCGTTCAGTAATACTTCACGATCTCACAACTAATATTGAAAAAAGAAAATCCTAGAAATGTCGCTACATGACCGACTTTGCGAATAAAAACACAAATAATCGTTTAGAAATTTACGATACTAGGCTTTAAACAAACAGAACATTTCAACAACACACTATAAATGAAGAGATTTTAAATAGAATAAAAACCGTGTACGATGAGAATGATTGATAGATTAATGAATTTGAAAGGCTGGGTGGATCATAATTTCAAAATCCTTGTACAAGTTGCTTTGAACTCACTGAGCTGTAATCGAATTTATAAAAAGAGAGAAGATGGTTTCGATTCGCAGGAATCTTGTAAGAATTGTCTAAATTAGGGCACCCTACCATTAATAGGCACCATAGCTTCAACCCCAACATTGTGGCTCTCCTAAATTTCAGACGCTGCATATGTCCCGATTACTTGCGTTCCACGAATTTCAAAGTAATTGTGAAAGACCAAAGACAATTATTAGCTTTATAAACGACTACAGTATGCAAGTACGTATCTCAATGGCTGACAGGATAATCTGCAAAAAACTGAAAATAGTGAGGGGGCAGAAAGGTGATGACTTAGGTGAAAAAATATCATTTAAGTTTTTGAGTTTCGATTATCAATTAAGAATTAATGGGCTGACGTAGCAACGATAGCCTTCTTGTTGTGCAGCCATAAATTCAGTGACAAAAAAAAAAAAAGTCTCACTGTCAATTTTGGCGGAAAAACATTGGATAAGACGACATTAGTACAGACGCTTGGAAGTATTTTATACATTCTCGTGAAATAAACATAACAGAAGTTCGTAAATGTTGATTTACAAAAGAAATTCGTGCTATTTCCTATGTACCTTAATTTTTCTTAAATAGTGAAAAGGACTAACAAGCACCGCTTTTACAAAGCGACTCATTCACTTTGGGAACTACGAAACTGTGATAATAAACCAAAATTTATTAACCAACTAACGACCCACCAAACACATGATGTTGAAACGTCGATTACGAGTTAATTCAATCTGAGAATTTAATGAACTTCATTAGGAGAGATGCGTGGTGTGGACCAGAACTTACCGGCATAGTCGACAGCGTTGACGTCGGAGCCTCTGGCGATCAGCTGCTGCACGCGCTCCACGTCACCCCTGATGGCGGCCACGTGTAAGGGCGTCTCTCCGCGCTCGTTCCTCTTGCCTACACCTGCAGCCCTGCCACCCCCTGCACTGGGGGTCGCAGTCCCCCTTCCACCCCCTGCACTGGGGGTCGCAGCCCCCCTGCCTCCTCCACTTGGGGTCGCAACTCCTCCAGCCAACATGCCGCTAGACTGAGGGGTCCCGGGGTCACTAGGGTCGCAATACGGGCTGTAGCAGCGCGGCGAGGGGCTCGAACTTTCCGGTATGAACTTAGCTGCCAAACGGAAAAAAATATCGCTGATTTAGATCAACAGAAGGCAGTTGCTTCGAAATTTTTAGATACCTGTAAGCAACACCCGAAAATTAATTGGTTATCTACGGCCGTAGTTTAAGTAAAGATCGTAATAATGCGAGGAAAGCAAGGGGAATGAGGAAAGTAGGACTACCAAGAAGCAAATTCGGAAGTAATAACATTCTGAAGGCAATTGCTAAAAACATTTTAAAGCACATCCCTATGAAGAGATAGAGAATTCGATGGAGTCACCGGCAGCGGGACTAACTACCTACAAGTAAAGCACACCAAATGTCACGTCATGCCGCGCTGCACTGAAATCTCTTCCCCCTGGCCTTTTCTCTGTTATCTCCCATTCAGACCCAGGCCTTCCTCTTCCTCTCCTCCCCCAACATTATATAAATGAATATTTGACGTGTGTCAGCTAGCCTTTACAAGCATGAGCGGGAATTACCTTTCAGTGTCACCACACCCCGAAGTCCAATTCAAGCCCCTGCTAGCCGAGTCCAGAAGAAGAGTGCATCGCTCTTCTTGTAATGTTTGTTAGCAGAGTGGCAACAAATACACTTGTGAACTCTCCTTTATTGCATCCTCTTTTTTTTTTGAGGCTATATAACGAGCGCTTTCATACAACGCCAGTAGTTCTAAGAAAATTCCATCGTTTTTTGGGTGGGGTTATATTCAAATTGTGATATGAATTAAGATAAAGTTATTGTGGTTGACTTAATTCACGGCAAGGTTTGATATTTTCTGGCTATTGAATCGGTTCATATCAACAAGTGCTAGGAATTTAAAGTTTCATAGCTAATGAGGCATGTTTTTACGCCCTGTATATTTTAGTCGCACCCTGAACAGTTTGACGACTGTCCATGCCATGGCGCGGAAGCACCTGTGGCCTGATGCTGACATACCCCTTATCGTGGCACTGACCACGTTACTTCCTAAGAAAACAATTTAATTAGTAATTCGAACCAACGCTTTTTAGGGCACTGCTCTACGGCTTTATATTACCGACGCCAGGGAGTCAGCCCGAGCGGATTGTCGACAACCTTAAGCTGAAATCCACGGTGTGTGACTGAAGTGAAGTTTAGAGTAGCTGGCGAGCATTAATCAGAACTAGTTGTGTCTGCTTAGTAGTTTATTCTTAGTTCTACTTTAGTTAACTGATAGCCCTTGACTCTTAACTGTCGTTTTAATCATGGTATCAGCTCTTTAATTACACTCTCGAATGTTGAATATTAACTGCACCAGTTACTAAGCAAATCAATAAATCTTTACTTGCCTTTGTCCTTCTTTCCAGCAACGGTCTTAGAGGTTAACCGACCAACATTAATAACATCGTTATAAGGAAGGTAGGAAGGTGCAATCATACTGGCTAACAGAAGAAATTCAAGAAACAAAAGCGTATTACTTGTGATAGAAAAAATGCTAAAAAAAGACATCAAAGCAACAAAACGACTGTCGAACGCTATAGGGAAGTGACCGATCGAAAAACCGTAAAAACGCTGCAACATCTTCAACAAAAGTATAAATGCCTAAAAAAATGGACGTGACATTTACTAAGGTCAAGGTACCTATGATTAACGTAAGGAAAAAAATTGTAGGTAGTAATTTAGCGGAGCTCTTTACGTATCAAGATGCTGTACAACTGAAAGCAAGTTAGTTAGTTAGTTTAGTGGCCAAATGTTTACTAGCGCTTCAGCTATTTAGCTATCTCGCACCGAAAGTCAAGATGAACATCACCATAGAGGTGGAAGGTCTCAATTATTCATCACCCACAAGGGGCGGAAGGTCTCAGATGTCCAGCCCGCTGAAGCTGGCTCGAAAGAAGCAGCGTTAGCATCTCAAAGAGACGAAGTGACAAGGAGGGACAGGTGAAAAGCAACAGAAACTATGACACTCGAACAAGAGGTCGCTTACACGGGACGTCGGCCGCCCGCACGAGAGAGACAGAGAAGGGAAATGTAAGGAATCCTGCCTACATAATAACTTAACCCCACAACTGAGACCTAGTCAGACACCGCGAGCTCAACGGTGGGGCGCTCAGGAACAATCCCCCTAGGAAAGCGAAATCCCATAGGACTTCTGACGAGCACAGACACCCGTCAGAAGTCCCCCCTGAGGGGAACTGAAAGCAAATCTGTCGAGTTCAGAACTTCTGTGGAATAAACTGCTCCAGTAACAAAACTAGCTCAGGTGGAGAGAAAGTTATACCTGGTAGAATTTTGCAACAAAAATACGGCCTTTATAACATAAAATAACACTCACTACTGGAAGGAGACGACATTTGCAAGAGCAGAGCAATTTGCTGTCGCTCAGACATTGGCATGGCGTGCCGCGGCCGCGCTGGAGTCCCGCCTACAGCAGCGCAGCTCGCCTCCTCATCCTCCACCCACGGCCTCGTGCTCTTCCCTGTACATCGTTACATTCATTTATTCAATCATCATTCATGTCGATGATGTTTTAATAATTATTCGACAAGACAAGGAATGGCTTCATGCATCCAATCCAATTCTTTATATTAAATAAGGGAAAGCCATCGAGACGAAACGGTAGAACATCCAACACTTCGAGATCAGAGGCACCGAAATTGTGTTGTCCTGTCATCTAAATTTGAGACAAAAATCCGCAAAAATTTTGTTCTATTGACCTAAACAATTTTGGTATCATGTCTTAATTGCCACTTCGATGACTTTCCTTTCGCCATTCATGTCTGGATTATCGAACCAACAAATATTATAGTGGACCCTAAACACTGAAAATAGCCTCCAAGATTTAATCGTGAAATGTCCCACTACTATTTCAAACAGAAGATAATTTAGAGAAAACTTGCAATGAAGAAAGATTCGAAAGAGATCGTTAGATCTTCTAATCACGAAACATTCAGAATGATCACATTTTATCCAAAGAAATTTTGTATGTTATATAAGATAGTAAGCGATGCTAGTACGAGTTACTTCCGAGCCTCATCAGTCGTCCCGACCTGCAAAGTTTTGTTTAGATGTTTTGTTTGAAGTTTTGCTGGAAGTTTCACTGGATGTGGAGATGACGGGCAGAGGTCGGTTGAGGTGAGTCTTGTTATCTTGAGGGCAGAATTGCTGACTCAGCTGACAGTGCAGGGACTTGTTGCTCTCTCCTTGTTGGGTCTCATCAAGGCGCGGTAGTTCTTCTAGATGCTCGTCTGAAATTCAATTAAACTATGGTCAGTCTCCAAATGGAAGTTCTTCCCACGCGCACCATACCTACACGATGATGTCTTATCGTATCAACTATAACAAACGAGAGTTTCATTTTTATAGTTTTAGTTGTTTCGCGAACTTTTTTTTCAGCGCCGTCAGCTGTTAGACAGCCTCTCTTGAGTGTGTATATGAAGATGACAGTATTTGAACCTAACAAAAATATTCAAGGCAACAAACTGAAGTCAATTCATTGGATGTTTTTTACCCGAGTATGAAAATCGCGAATGTATAGAATAAAATTCACCTTCGCGTTGGTACATTTACATATAACCAGGACAACTAGTCGAATCTTAATCTAATGAACAATCTTTTGCATTACATTTCAACATCATTCAGTAATATTACATTGAAGTATTCGTGATTAGATATTTATGACTAGCAAGAAAAAGAATTTCACTATCAAGTTGCCATAACCAGTGCCACCCGTATCCTTAAATTTAGGTACGGATAGAATTTAAAAAATTGAACCGTCTTAAATTTCTAGTGCTTTCGACATGCTGCATGAATATTCTAAGTGAAAATCTCTCACCAGGTGTCGTATTTTCCTTGTGTTCCTTAGCATTGTTGAAGAGTTTGCGTTTCGAATGCACCGGCCTCACCATCGCAACGACTCCATCGGTCTGCTGAGAGGTAAAAAATATTTTTAGTACGACAATGACAAGGTCAGTTTTGATGTTAACGACGAACCAATTCTTAAATCCTACGCGTTGCCCAGAGTACTGTAATGACTAGAGTACTGTTTCTATAGGGATCATTCTGACTATGACAAAGCTGATACTAAATTATTTACAAGAATCGGATAAAAATAACATTTAGCTGTGCAAGTTGTTACAGAGCAGTAGTGAGAATATCTCACCAAGGAAGTTATGCTACCTAATTTATTGAAACCTTTGTTAATTATACCTGGCAATGTTGAACGTGAAAACTAACAATTTATTACAGAATTCCAAACGAATGACTTTCTCAACGAATCTGATGTGCACAAATTACGAATCCAAAAAGGTAATGAAATATTGAATCAATTAAGTTAAGAAATTTAAGCATTCTAACCTCAGGCTATCATGCTGAAACCAAAAGCGAGTGGTTAGAATTAATGCTAATGCAAAAGGAAATTATTTTGAATCTCTCGGGAAGCGCGCGGCCTGACAAATCGATAAAAATCGTATCACCCAATTCATCAAGACGGTAAAGTGATAGCTAAATGAAAAGAAAGACAAAGCAAAAAGCAACACCGTTTGAAAGGACTGACATTTGCGCAGTCCAGTTCTCGAATCTCTTCACTAGATTTTTAGGGGCTAATTACTCCAGTCTTTCTTGAATGGCTGCCAAAGTATGTGCAGACTTGATCATACAGTACGAAGTAACGTCGTCAACTGTGAATCATATTTTCACATTCAAACTAATCTTGAACTAACACATAATGTTTCGAGATACTTTCCCCCTCAGAAGATATGCTACGATGTACCATTTTTGTTACACTGGAAGGAACACCAGTTAATGCCATGATGAATTTTTATTGAAACATCTTTGTACTGTAAATATATTATTCTAAGCAATATCTGACTAGCTTTATTTTCGAGTTTTGATACTCGGTGTTGCTAGACAGAGGATAAGTTGTTCCTAGCAATCCCGGGTTGAAGCAAGATCGATCAATGATTAATTTGAATGTAAAGAGCACTTTATGTTCCCGAGTGGTCACCTAACTTGCAGCTCGCGCCTTTTGTGCACCACGCCACTTGTATTAGATTTATAGATTTTGTACAACATTTTGGCAGCTAAGAATGGAATATTTGAAGATGCGTGATTAACGTCAAGGGAAAAAAGGTTAGCAATTATTATTATAATTTATTACTATTATTATTATTATAATATAATAATATTATAACAATAATATTATTATTATAATATAATAATATTATAACAATAATATAATATTATTATATTATTATCATTATAAGTCAATTATTTTCAGGTGAGGTGATGACAGAGGCTGTTTATTATTATTATGAGCATTCAGCTTACATTCATGAGCCGATCAAGCCAGCTAGCCTATTAGCCTAATGATCCTAATTAAAATTTCTTAAATGAACAATAAACTTACAGGAAAGAAGATATTTCTAACAATTAACCAAACTTTTGCATTTCACACAGTACACATAATTTGAAAATTAGTCAATTATGATGGAATGAGCGTATTGTATGTTTTAAATAACTATAAATTTATGTGCCAATCAAATTGGTCATGATGATCTCAGAGAAATGGATTGCATGTAACAGAAACTTGCAACTATATGGTACCTAGTTTATCTAGTTTCAATATTGTACATGTCAAATATATACTAATTGAAACCCTGAGTAAAAAATTTGTCACAGGATTATATATATGCATCAAAGATTCAAACCAATTTGTGAAAAGAAAGTAGAAAACTTGCTGATCTATAAAATTGTCTTGAGGTTGGCAAAGTGATCTTTGATTTTTGTCAAAAGGGTGTAGTATTACAAGAGTCAATAACAAACATGTATACATGTACCGTCAACTGGGGTGACTTCGGCCACCGGGGTGACTTCGGCCACTGGGGTGACTTCGGCCAACGTTTATGATTTTGTTTTGCGGCCATCTGTTTCTGTTGTAGTTGTGTTATGTCATTGGAACAAAATGGTTTCCAATGTAGTTTATTCTTATCTATCAATTGGACACTGTTTTGTTTCATTAATTTTATATCCTGCTTGACCAACCCAATCTGAATGCAACAGTACTGTAAAGAAAAAAGGCTAAGTGCAAACTTCAATATTTTGAGATACAAAAAGAATTTTGGAATCAGGTTTCTTTCATTTATTTTGGTATCTTGCATAATGATTATATCAATGGCTATACCCTTTTTACTGATTTACTGAATGTAATATATATGCTTGAAAAATTAGCTGGCCAAAGTCACCTCATAGTACGGTATATGGGCTAAATGGGGAGACTTTGGCCAGCCAATAAATGTTTAGAATAATAGATTTTTCTTCTTTTTTCAGACAATATGCGCAGCTATAAACATAAATTAGATTCTGGGCCATATAGGATATATTATTAGGAGTCGTTTGAGAAAGCATTGCAATTGATAAAAGATGGTGTTTAGCTTAAGAGAAGCTGCTAATATTTGCTAAGTCCCTTGTTCAACTTTGAGCGACTGATGTGCTGGCCGTCATGCAAAAAATTTAGGACAGTCTACTCTTTCACCTACAGAGGAGTCAGATTTAGTATCCTACATTATTCTGCTTTCAGACTGGGGCTTCCCAATAGATGGTATGGAACTGCATTCTTCGGTTAAAAATTACCTTGACAAACAGGGTCGCACTTTACGCAAGTTCAAGGGTCGCACCTCTATCAAGTATCATTGATTTTTTGAAGAATGCTCGAGATCCCATGGGGACTAGATTTTTTTAAACTCTCACATCCAGCTGCCATTGAAATTAACAGAAAGCAGCCTTAATGAAGCATGTGATTCACAAATGCGAGTTTTATCTTTGTGTTACAATTTATATAATACACAGTGGCATTGATTATCATTTTTTGAAACACCCTACATGGCCAATGTCACCCCCCTAATGATTGAATTCGGCCACAAAATCATTTTACTATGATTTTACTGTGTTTTAACACATGTGGCCAAAGTCACCCCATCGCGGGGTGACATCGGCTACCCAGCTAATTTAAAAAAAATTATTAAATGATAAAAGTGACAAAATTTAGACATAACATATTCAAAGAAGAATCTTTCAGTAATATATCTACAAATTTACAACCACCAGCAATGCCTCATTCCTATTTTGTAGAAATTTGATTGGCAGAAACTAGTGTAATTTGGCCTAAGTCACCCCAGTTGACGGTATATATTATCTTTGAGTTGTAACATTCCTCTTTTTTTCTTCAAGACACGAAATTTCTGCAGGACTTGTTATATCCCAAGCACATAAAAATGTTTATAAACCTGCCCAATGAAGCCAAAATATTTTGAATTAAACTAAAAATATACGGATAGAGCAAAAAATTGTAGTAAGCAACTAGACATTTCCTACCAGTGCTTAAGTTCAGACAGAAAATTTTGGCTGAATTCACAAAGTACATTTTTTCATGCTATTTTCAGAAACCACAGATGGAAAGCAAGTTTTCATCCAAATGCTTCTTTACATTTTTTCAAATATACAAACACTGTCAAATGTCAATACTGTGTCTTGATTTAGAATAAATTATTAGATATTCAAGTCAAGCATTACAATTCAAAACTTTCTAGTATTATCAATTTTGAATTTATTTCAATAATTTTCTCCAGAGGTAGCAAGAATATCAAAGGTAGGACCAGTGTGTAGTATCTTCTTGTTGATAGGAAATTTTGCCTCAAAAAGAGCTAATTATTATGGTCAATACACATGAAATCAATTAAATTCTCAAGAAATTACCACTAGAATGGATGTAGTCAAGTTTATTGATTTTATACCTGACTGGAAAATTGGGCAGATGCTACCTCTAATCTGCCAAATCAGATGAAAACATCTGTGAATGTGGCCAATTTCACAAGTTCCTATTAACTTCTGCCCAATATTCCATAGCTAGTGGTTTTTATAGACAATAATTTCTATCAAGAGAAAATTTTGAAGGTCCTTGAATAATAAATGCACATAGGCCATGGCCATTAATATTTCTGACTAATCAAGACATTTCAACATAATCGTTGATTTGTTGATCATCTAACAAGACTAACCTCATTCACCACTGCGAGTCTGCAAACTGCAAGCACTGCCAATCAAGTTGCAACAGCATTTAGGTTAGGTATGAAGACAAATTAATTTATGTTGTTGGCCTTTTAATAGAAAAGACTTATTATAACCACACTAAACCAAAACATTCTGGCACAAATGCAACAGCTCCATAGTTATTACTTGGTTATCAAAGTAATCAAACCCCTACAAATCATAGTTTTAACCAGTGGGCACTGGGCAGTGGGCAGTGACCAGTATTACACACTTGTTACTTCAACTTGTTAGTGAAGAGTAGCAAGTCAAGTCTCACATCAGTCACATGCAGTATGACGACAGTTTCTGCCACCGACTGCCAAGAGACAACTCAAGGATGTTATTGTTCAGTAGATCATGGCCCAATCATCAGGCCAATGGCCAATAATTGGCCATGCTGTTTCAAAACTTGAAATTGAATGCAACTAGGCTATGCAATTGCAATCAAGTGAGAGAACCTCCTATTCAATTTCCATTTAGATTGAAATCAATAAATATAGGGTAAACGCGGTATATTCTGACATTGTGGGTAATTCCGACACCTCTCTAGTTTTTCCTTTATATTAAGCTTTTAGTTCCATGCAGTTGTTGATGGTTGAAATAGTGACGTCATACATTTGCGCATCAAACTACTGCCAAAACACTAGGTCTGGGCCATCTAGCGGGATAATGTTGAGATCCAAAGAGACGGTGCATGCCACCCAATGAGATCATCGAAAAATGTGTCAAAGTTGACAGTTGACCTTGCTCTACCAAATAGTGATAAACTGTTTGTGTAGAAAGAATATTATGGTTTGAGACTTTTAAATACGTCTGTGAATATACCTATTAGGAATCCTTTAAGTATACTTGTATTTGCTGATTTCAAGTGGTAAATAAATTAATAAATGATTAAGTTGAGAAACGGATTTAGACACATAAAAACTAATTCCGACACCACTTGAATTGGACACACACAACTCGTTCCAAGCAGTGTGCAAAAATTAAAATTTTCTTAATTAAAAGCTTAATAACTGTTAATTAAAAGCCTAATTAAGTATTGCTCAATATTCAATAGTGTTCTAATTCAAAGCCGTGTCGTAGCTATTCCAATACAGCTCACACAGCAATCGGAATTTGAACATGTGGATGTCGGAATTACGTGTTAGTACAATTTGAAGCGCGGTCAGAATACGTCTCACCACGTGCCGAATATAGCCACAAACAGTGGCTATATGCAGGATTCCCCCATTTAATAACCGAGCTGCGGCCAGAGTACAGACTCTTTGTGAGGGATCACTGTCCGTGGTAGGACCGAGGCTCTTTAATGCCTTACCAAAAGCACTGAGAGGAGGGGAGTTTACTCTTGCAACATTCAAGAAACAAATGGACAAGTGGTTGAGAAAGATCCCAGATTGTCCAGTAATGGGAAACCACCCTCAGCAAGTGACAAGCAACAGCATCTTGCATCAGGTGGCCCAAAAGAGGGCAAATAGACAGAACACGTCCAACGTTACATCCGACAACAACTCGGAGACAAAGGACGACGAAAGTGGTGCATCAGCGTGACCGTGGACTATGATGTCCTAAAACTCATCATAAGGTCATAAGGTCAGTGTCGGAATATAGGGATTTGGTAGGTTTGCATTCTAAAGGCTTTTAAATAAATATGGCAACATTTTGTGACATTTCATTGTTGCTGGCACCGTGGCACGTAGTACGGTACTACGGTGGGTATTATTGCAGATTAACTACATCCAAAAAAAAGGGTGTTTTTTTTTTTTTTTAATTATATGTTTTTTGGGGTGTAGATTACGAATCTGAAATCCATTTTTGGCGGTCGGCATCGGAAAACCGATTTTTTTCCGACAAAAAAAAAAAACACCCTTTTTTTTGGATGTAGTTAATCTGCAATAATACCCTACGGTGTTTTGCAAGTCACGTAAAGCAAACAGAACTCGAGTAACGCATACGGTTATTTTTTTATAGTTTTTCATTTCTCAATGTGTCCTTCATGTGTCGGAATATACCGCGTTTACCCTATATTATGTAGTGCCAAAAAATTATTTGACAGCTTTTGAAATAGTAAATGAGTTGAAAAACTAATGCCAGTAAAGGACTAAACAATAAAGCCTAAAGGTCAGTCAGCCACTCGAACTTTGTAAGCAGAAGCAGGCACTAGGCAGCAGAATGCAGTTCTTAAAAATTACCAAATGTTAAAAATTTCCTCTGCTATAAGTATAGGTAAAATATAATTTGGTATTATATTATATAGCAATAGAGTGATATTAGCCTAGCCATTCAAAAAAATTCAACATTTAGAGCAGTCCTCACCTCAGAAGCCTCATTTACCATATTTAGGTAGCTAGTCCTAATTCCTAAAATCTAAATAGCCTAGTCCTAATCAACAAACATGTTTTCAGAGTAAATTTAGTAGTCCTAATTGACTCATAGCTCATAACTTACATTGGTATTCGACAACGAAATGCTATTTTTCATTAATGTAATGAATAAACATATTTTCATAGATTTATTTACATTTTATCGTCGCTAGTATCGAATTTGAATCACTGAAGTTATCAGTTCTGTGCAAGCAAACGTTGCAACGGAGCAGAGGTAAGATGATAGTTGAGCCTCGCCACCATTGGTCACGGAGGCAGCGATAAGGATGATCTGGTTAGAAAAAAAAAACTAGGCTAACTCACCTAAAAGCAAGCTCTTGACATCTCAACACAGCTAGAACACACTGATTAAGAATACCGTTAACATTCGAGTTGTATTTAGAGGTCAAATGCTTTCCATCTGTCAAAATATCGATTATTTGAACGTAAAGATTTCCCGCGCAACCACTTCGTTTTGAGCTAGACGTCACACTGGCTGCGTCATAGCAGAAGAACGCGTTGGTAAACGGTTAGCTTTAATGGTAACGCGTTACACTCTACAGTTAACGGTAGGTAATATCGGGCTCGCAAGGATGACGTCACGGCTCCGAATCGCCAGATGCATTGTGGGATCGACGGCCATGTTTGTAGACCGAGCTAGCTTTCGCTACGGTGTTCAATCTAAGTCTCCATTTGAAATTTTTGCTTGAAGATGGGACGCTACTGCGCCGTTATTGGATGTACAAGTCGTTCTCACGACCATTTAAACAGAAAACTTGACAATGGAATGAGTTTCTTTAGTTTACCAGCCGTGAAGGAAGGACAAGGCAGCTTAGTTCTCGACGTTACCACAAGACGTCGACGAGCATGGGTGGCAGCGATTCGACGTATCTTAAATAACGGTCTCTAGCTGAAGGAAGTAGTTTTTCACAATAGCTTAATCCTTTCTGCTTGGCTCTTTCTTTCTCCATTGTCACCATTCACCAAAACATCCAACCGACTGAAACGAGCAAGAACGAAAGAATGGTCTACAAAGATGGCGGCGGAGCAACGCGGATTACTTGGAAACGCGGGAGCTTGGCGAGCCCGATACGGCCATTATGATAGTTTAATATAAAGCGTTTATTTCGAAAGTTTCAACTTTGTAAACTCATTAAACAAATATAAACTCTAATAAGAAACACAGTTCAAATTGACGAACTATTAGTATAAAGGATAGAGAATAGTAAGTAGTAAAGTAGAATAGTTGCGCAAACCAAAACGTAGTTATATTAGCACTGAAAAATCATGCCTAGCATCCAAGAAACTTTCTAGTTTCTAAACTAAGGAACTTTCAAAGAAACATCGGTAGTTTCTCCACCAGTCCACCTGCAGCTTATGATATAAAATGAAATGGTCGTACCTATTTTGTAGCAACAGTACTGACCGAAGTCAAATAATTCATGGTTGAACTACTAGTTCAACCATGAAATAATCCACTGCGATCTTTTAACTCAGCTGTCAAAAAAGTCCAATATAAGCTATAAATGGAATGCATTTTTCCCTTACAGAAAACCTACCTTTCATAACGAAATTATTCCTAAAATTATTATTTAAATTTATAAGCAAAACTTCGCACCATCCGAGGTATAATTATAAACGACCGTATGATTTACCGGTACTTGGCTAGAAAAAAAGCGCGAATAAGTTATTAAAACGCTTCTTTTTAGCCTGTTATTTCTCACGTGAAAAAATTGCATTAGAAATCAAATCAATTATGTTTTCAAATGCAACACTAAAATTAATTATGAGAAAATAATATAATACGGGAAAATCAAACGACATTCCGTATCAAAATATTTATTCAATTCGAAGCATTAGTAATAAGGAACACTTCATTTACGGTTTACACATGAAGTACAGTTCATCAACACCCAACTATTTGTAAATTGTAAGCAGGCTTTTCCTTCATACATTAATACAATGAATAAGAATAAATCCAATACATGTCACAGCTTATCTATATATCGACATAGAGAAATTAAATGATGTAACTTTGGGAACGTAATTTCTATTCATCGAAGATTCAAAGCACATTTTGTAATGAATAAATGAAGGCAAAGCAGAAAACAATTATTGGAGATTGTGACTCGAGAGCCCTAAAAAGATTTGCAATAATTCACCGCCATCTCTGCTTGTAAATAAGTTTATAAGACAAAATATTTCCATCGCGTAATAATTGCCGATTTCTCTCAATGGAAATTATGGGTAATGGAAGAAAATCTAAAATAATTTCCACATGATCGGAAAACGTCGTTACCAGATGCAATGAAACTGGGATATTCGTCATCACGATAGGTTAAGAGGATCCCATACACACAGATTTTATAACAGAAAGCGTGTAACGAATAATAATTTTGTTTCACGTATGATAAAAAATAAGTGAGTTCAACTACATTTTTTTTCCACCAGAATTCGTGATTTCCCGTTCAGATACAGAAAAGGTCAAGACAGCGAAAAATATCGTTCATCCCTCAAAAATTAACATAGAAAAGATTCACATGTAACCTTCATTATAAAACTTGGGCAAAGAAGCGACAGAGCACACAGTAAAGCGAGCGTTAGTAGACACATAGTACAGTACATAGACAAGGAAAGTGGAATTGCCTCGCAATTCCAATTCTTTGGAGGTCGCAATCTGAGACCACTTTCCAAGTTTAACAACAGTGACACGTAGTGAAACTTTTAATACATTACTACATAGAGCTTCTCAGCTTCAAAATAGCTTCTTATTCAAGATTCTAAACCCGCCCTACGTCCGTTCTAAAACGAATGCTGTATCAAGATTGACAGTTCGCTCTGACATAAAAATTAACCTTTTTCAAGACGCTGAACAAATTTTCAATAAGAGAAGAGGTATCATAAAATTACCATCCAAATATTCGGCAACGATAAGTATTTCACAGACGGGCATCTAAATATTAGTCTATTATTCTATTTGACTGACATGATCTTAAATCTAGTCACTGCACAGACGACTGAAGCAGTTTCCCTGTAGGAACTTCAACGCTGCATTTCTCCTAAAACGATTCTGAACTTTGAGACAGCGGAAAGTGAACTAATGAAAACCACCGTAAATTCACTAGCAGCATCTGACAGACCAACTTTAGATTACAAAGCATGTTTACTATTAGTTCGTCTGAATAAAAAAAGCGAACAAAAATTACATTGTGACTGAAATAAGGATTACTGATGGGTGAATGAATGCTCGCCGTAGAAAATAAAATTAGAAGAGAAGATAGCGAAAAAACGTGAAGGAAATCAAATTGCCTTCCTCACTATTATTGTAAAAGTAAAATCCGTAAAAAAGTAGTGATCGAAAATGTGATCTTATAGTACAATAATAACAGTAAAGTAAATCAATGTAATTTACCCTGTAAAATTGGGGAACTTTGTTGCTGATGAATGAACGTTCATGCCGAAGAAAGAAGCAGAGAAAAGAAGTTTTTTGATGTAAAGTTTACAGAAATATTTAAAGCGTTCTAAAAATAATAGCGAAAATTTCAACAATGCAGTTTTTTACGAACCTAATTGACCACTTAAAGCAATTAATTAATTAATTCACAGTCTTATACATGTACATTGACAGTAAGTAGCTAGCATGAATAAATATGCCTCATGATAAGAGAACACAAACTATTAAGTCGAGACAGTGTCCCACAAATGCTCTGCTAGACAAAGAGTACAAAAAAATAAACGGCTAAAGCAAGGCTAAGAAATATTGCTGATTGCAAGAAATGTGACACAATCACCACGAAGAATTAAGAGAAATTATTGAAGGCGCAAAGTCATGAGGAAATATTATAGAACATGAGACTAGTAATAGATATATAGTATTTATTATTTTACTAATTTAGAAAGAAATATAGCCAAAACTTAAATTTACCTAAAAGCTAAGAATATCTTAATTCTACAATAGAAGCATCTTATAATAAAATGTTTATTCATTGAGACAGATATCGACCAAGGTCGTGTTTGAGACATTCGTGAGTTCGTACTGATTCAGGAAGTTCTTTGTGATTTTGAACACTCACCTCATAATAAAGAGATAAAGAGAGTGAGCAAAATACAGATAACGAAGCAAGCGAAATACTTTTCGGTTCTACAAGATTTTTGCCACTGCAAAAATTCATGCTTAAAGATCTGTGGCAATACGAAAATATCACTCATTCCATTTTAGCGGTAAAGCAATTTCATCAGTGAGACCATATATATATCGGCAAAATCAGCATCTCTAACATTAATCTTCAGTGCAACAAGATGAAAAAAAGAATGCTATTGTCATATTGCAAAACTATGACAAATTTTCTACTGACAGAGTAATTTTATGCGCTCGGTAAGATTAACTATCTAAATAGGATTGACCGAAATACCCTTAGATAAGATTTTTTTATAAATTTGAAAAAATTATCTTGTTCAGAAGCTGCAGAAGCAGCTTAAGTTGAAAATATAATCCAGCAGTCCTAGTGTGTGAATTCGAGTCATCATCTTCCAGTGGAAGTGAAAAAAATTCGTGTCATATTAGTCTGAAGAAATGTTATTATTTTAAGGCTCTTTATCCCCACATTTTTATGATCTTCAAGCAAGCAATGCTATGAAAACTGTACAAGTATATAAATTCAGAACTCTCAAAAAGTTGAAAAAAAATCAAGAGGCGGTCAGAAATGCCAATTTGAGTAGTTTGGCACACACATCTGACGATCAACTCTCATGGAACCCAGTCTTTAATGGTCGTCGAAAATAGGACAGCAACACGTGCAAAAAGAGGGTATATCCTCTGCCAGTCTTGCTAAGTTTCCTTGGCTTCAAGAGGCTAAGAAAATTTTGCCAGTATGCTCATATGTTCAGATCCAAATATGGTACTTCAGCCAGACAATCAATTATTAATACCTACAAGTGCCAATTAGGAGTTTGATAATGCCAGTGTTCAGTCACCATCACGCTCAAGTGCCGAAAATATCACCATTGCCAGGGTGACACGGTCGATGTAAGTGCGAATACACGGTCACCATGCGATCAAGTCGAGATCACCTATAAGTGCCAATAAAAGGTCACCATTGCCAGTCCCCCGTGAGGAGGACAGGTTCTCATTTCTTGTCCTGCAGTTGGGCCTGCATGCGCGCCATCATTTCCTGCATCTTGGCGATCTGAGCCTCCTTCTCCTGCAGCTCCTGCAGCATGCGGTCGCCTCCTGCGCCGCTGCCGTTACTGCCAAGGCTCGCCGCACTGGACAAAGTTACAATAAAACTGATTTACAATTGCAATTTTCAGAACAAAAATTAACCAAATTGACGTTCCTACGCATACATAAAGCTAATCTGTTGGCACGGCACAAAACGTAATTGATTCCCTGTATGGAAAAAGATTCCATCTGGGAAATGAAATATCTGTAGAAGGTGTATTACATTTAAGAACAATAATCGATAGAATAATTGAAAGCTTATGAAATGCAAGTTTTTGATAGTCTACCTATTGAATAAGCCAAGGGTAATTGGAGATTTCAATTTTAGAAACTGCATTTCACATGCTTAGTTTCAATTGAGCGCAAATGATGAAAAAATTGAATGATATATTTTTGAAATAAAATAACAACATATTCTCATCAGAACCAGAAAATGGACTTTTTCTCAAATGGTTTTGAACTCGAAAAGAATATGGATACTAATAAATTACAAGACTTAGATAACATTTAATTTTTTAATAAATTTATAATAAAATTCTATAATCAATTCATGAACGTATTTATAATCAAAATACTATACTTTCAGAGCACAGCGAACTAATCCCAATGAAATCACGTCAGAGAAGAAGAAACAAACCTACAAGCGATCCTTGCTTCTTTGTTGTGTGTTAAATGACAACAATTTCAGAAACCGTATCATTTTCCGACGCGATAAGCCATTAGATCACACCTTGTTATTATAAGATTTTTTATTTTTCATCGTTTTCAGCAGGGAACGAACCGCAACCTGCTATTATAAGAAGCTTCTCTATTGTTAGATATTTACAGGAATAACTGACCTGATCTTCTTATCAGAGCCAAGAGAGGCGAGGGAAGAAGCGGAGGCGGTGTGCGAGGACCCGTTAGTTGTCACTAGAGGGGACGACCCGCGGGCCAGTCTGTCTGAGCGGTAGTTCTCGTAGTGAACCTCCTGCGTCACCTCCGTCAGGTCCTGCATGTGCGTCCTGCACCGTGTCACTCTCATAATTATTTGTGTTTTGAGCCAACAACAAAGCAGGGAGAAGAATATGTCTTGGATATTTCTAGCATTTTCCTCCTTTTTAGTCAAACAAGCTATTCTATATGAAGTACATATAGAAAAGACCATTAGCCTACCAAGACATTAGGATGGAGGATTCAATGCAGCACAGAGGAATCATATTAATGAACTAAGACAGTATCCACAAGAAATAAGACAAGTCTCACCCAAGCAAACATCTGAGTTTACTGAAATCGCAGTGCTGGGGATTCTCGACCTCAATGACTCCCCACGGGTACTGCCGACCTCGAACTTTCCTGCCCCCAACATCCAGCACCGTGGCCGACCCCACGACGGCGAACGGCACCGCCTCCTTCAGCTGCCGCACCTGCGCATCAAAGTCAACATATCACCATGCCATTCCATTATTACGTCACATCGGCACATCAGGACAAATATATCATTCATACCACACCGTACCACGCCCATCATCTATTGCACCGGCACATCGGGACAAATATAGCATTCACACAACAACATGCCACGCCCCATCATTTATCGCTCCTACACATCACATATATATCTTTCCCACATAACCGCGCACTCCCATCGTTTACTTTACCTGCATATCAACAATTAAGTAATTCACATTATCGTACTATGCCCATGTTTACTGTACCTGCACATCAGGACAAATACATCATCGTACATCACCGTACCCTCTCTGCCTGATGGCGAGAGTTGATCACTCTATCCTCAATAGCAGTTAGAGAGAGAGAAAGCATGTAGAAACCCTGAATAATCTGACGACTAAAAGACTTTACAGGACAGATACAATTTCATAATAAGCAACAGTTTTATGAAATAGTCTAAGTAACCAATAATTAGACCCAAAATTTCGACTATTCTAAATTCAATCAGTAGAATTCATTATGAAGCAGTTAGCTGCTAAAACGAAATGTTGTAGGCAGAATATGGTTTTAATAAAAGGATAGGTACAATAAATACTGAACCTAGATAAATCTAAAACTTCATCTTCAGGAATAATAGTTAAGTCTGTCAGAATGCCATGAATTAGATGCTTTTACTTCAGTACATTCGCAACACCTGAACTCATCAAATCACCTGGAGTTTGTAGTCTTCCTCCTCATCTGTGTCACACTCAGGCAACGGGTAGACATGGATTCCATGTTGCTGGATCTCATCCATTACCTGATGATAAGTCACGTCTGGATTTAATTTCTTCATTACTTAAAAGTGATTTTTAAACAATGACGCCATTACTATTGAACCCTAACAATTAATCAAGTAAGGAAGGCACTTAAAAATCACTTAAATGACATTTTCACACAATGAATGTTATTAATATTCATTACAGATACATAGACTGATGCAAAGCATTAAAAAACATTGAATCATGGATGCTTGCATCACTGGTATTTAACTGTAATGCATGACGCACTTCAATACAAATAAACTCAAAATTAACTGGAGATGAACAAATCAATCAGATGATTGTGCAAAAGCACAGAATTGAGTTTTTGACAAAGTTTTACCTTCTTTTTGAGCTTTGCAACCTCAATCTTGGTGAGGGTGTCTGCTTTAGCAATAACAGGAACGATGTTGACTTTGTTGTGCAGCTGCTTCATGAACTGGACGTCCAGAGGCTTCAGTCTGCCACAACGAACACAAAGAGTGCCATCAATTGCTCATTTATTTGGCACAAGAAATTTATCTTTACATGGAAGAGGACTTGGATGAAGGAATCAAGGCATACACTTGACAAGCAAATACAAAATTGATTGAATAATTACCAGATGAGAATGGTTTTCCCCAGTTAAATGGAACTTTTGGTTGTTCAAAAGATAACAAGGGAATGAATAGTTCGAACATGCACTTCCACATAAAAATAATACTAACTTAAAATTAAGCTCGCATGACAACTTTATCATTCTTGAAATAATTAATAATGAAGCTCGTCTGCTTGAATTGTAAATTCACTAAAAACTTATAAGCAAAGAAAACTCCACAAAAATTCATATTATCTCTATAGAAAACGTGTTGGAGTCCAGCTCCATTGTTAGTTAAATTTGGAAACACAAATAAATCAGTACCTACATACCTAATTAGTACAGTCAAGATTACAAAAAAAAACTAAAAACCTAAAGGTTTTACCATTTAGGTTTCTTTGTAATCTTGACTGTACTAATTACTGATTTATCTGTGTTGAAAATTTTTTTGAACTATCGATGGAGCTGGACTCCGAAACGTCTTATAACGATTGTATGAAGTATAAGTTGTACCGTATAAGTTTTTAATAAAATAAATTATATCTAAAGAAACAAAGTTGTGGACTGACCCATGACCTGCAGGGTTGATGAAGTAGAAGCAGCAATGCACTCTGTTGTCCACAATGTGACGTCTATTCAGTCCACTCTCGTCCTGCGAATTATATTTTCAGTCTTGTTACAAGAAATTTTCATAATAATCTTAAAATCAATCTCAGAAGAATTAATTCATCCTGGAAAAATATTTCTAGACTCGAAATTCGAAAATTATAACCTTAATTGTTCATTACATTTTTAGTCTTCCCAAACAAAATAATTATTCTCTGACTATAAAGCCTTGACTCAATTGGTATTCATTCACACAATGAATTTTTGCAGCAGATATCATCCAAACTCATACTTGATATCTATTTAACCTTCTCAATTTTGACCTGCAGATCCAATCCAAGCTCATCTCTGAAATGCCCACAATAATATCCACATTACCTGGAGGTATCTCTCAAATTGCTCATTGATGTATGTGATGATACTCTGGAAGCAGTCAGTGTTGTCAATGGCATCACCATAACCAGGAGTGTCCACTACAGTTAGCCGCACCTTCACTCCTCTCTCCTCAATCTCCACTGTACTCACATCTATCTTCACAGTCTTCTTCAAGTTCTCTGAATTAAATATTAGTACACAAGTTAGATCGGCCAAATTTAGAAGCCAGCTCAACATAATAACAAACAGATCTGCAAAAACAATGAGATAAAATGAAAAAAAAAAATATATTTATTATGACAAATGAAATGTACCATATTTGCGATTATTTTAATACACATACTTTCAATAGGTACTAATAATGATCATTTAAATGAACATCAAGCACACAAACCTTGGACAGATGAAACCACTCGATCAGGGTAGAGATCAGTTAGGAAGAGTGTATTGATCAGGGTTGACTTCCCCAAGCCACTCTCACCTGCAAAATTGATTTGTATTGGATCATTGGTTTCTGGATCATTTATATATTTGAAAACTTCAAGGGTAAAATAAAGACAAATCTAAAAACTCAATCTCTTACTAAAAAATTAGGGTCTTGCATATATTATATTTTCATCAATGCATTTAGAAGCTAAATTTGGAGTAATCAAAGCAGATACAAATGATAATCAATTTCAACCAATAGCTTCATTTTACCATGATAACATTGATCTAAATTGAATTCCATTTCATCAAATGACTATATATATTTAATCAAATCAAATTATCAAAAGACTAAATACTTATTTCAAAAAGTGACAGAAGAATTCATGCCAATTCATTGCCTTGAAGATGCCAAATCACGATAGTGGCAGACACTATTCCCCAATCAATTAGGGTAATCAATATCCCTAATGTGAAATTATTAATGTGCAATACAAAGCTCTATTAGGTGCTGAACACTGATGCTGGTCAATATGAACAGCACACTGGCATGGAATATATCTACCTTCAGAGCTGCAAATTGAGCTTGCTCACCATTTTTGGAGCCATGCAATTCTTGCTAGAAGCTAGATGAATTACCTTCCATCTAATTGTAAACAACAAAAGTGCACTATTGGACCATGGGATTCGAAGTGTACAAAAATTTGTCACTTATGGAGCCACAAGGTTTCATTCATAAGTAGGAAAATTCTGATCCAGACAGCACATACAGACCTATAAGGTGTTGATCTATCGATTGATTGTAATCAGACCTGCAATTTTGCAAATATATATATATATAGATGCCAATATAATGTTGAGATAGGTTACTGGAGAAAATATGTAAAAAAAGACAATATTACAACAAAAGAATCTATTAATAGTGTGCAAGAATGTGCTACATTGGCATTAGAATTCATCAGTTTGAGAGATCAAGCTGGAACCAAAGGGAAACCTGGGCAACGAGATCCATTTTTGGATCCATTATCTACAATGTCACTTATATAAGCTACTGGCAGTCTTGCACTGAATAGAAAAGAATATATTTTATAACCAAAACTAACTGCAACTTCCTAACAAGATCAAAAGAGCTTTGAATTTTGAAGTCGTAATTGGAAAGTTGAGCAGAAGCCATATGAATATGACAAAAATGCCAGTACACATTGATAATTTCACTCATTTTTATAGACTTTGCCATATTTCCTTCATCAAAGAAAAAAAAACATTTTTAATTTGCTTCTTGAAAATTACCAGTGAGACAATTGTTTCCTCCTGCAATTAGAGGAAAATTTTAGCCCAATATTGCAGATTGGTTTGTAGCTTGGTGGGGCCATGTGCTTTTACTTATATATCTGCCTAGCCTAGTGCAGACTGGTGCGTGGTGCTGGTGCCAATTGGAAAAATTGAGAATAAGTCTCCCAAAAATTAATCTAAAATTAAATTTTACTTTTTAGTGCATTTTCTCATTTATGGAAAAAATGCACTATTGTGCTCGCCATGTCCGTCCGTCCGTGACCTCATGTTTTTGTCAACGAGAAAATGCGCTCTCTGTCACTCACTGCCAGTGAGTCCTGAGTTATATTTTTTTTTAATTGCAAGTAAAACCAGATTTTATATGCAATTTTTGAAAAATTTAGCCCTATTTTCCAGATTAGCAGGATAGGAATTCTCCTCCTTATGAATAAAATTTTGTTGCTCCCAAGTGACAAATTTTAAATACAATATACATTTGGAATCTTCCTGGCCAAATTGGGCACTTTTATTAAAAATTTAGATAGGCTGAGCAAGCAGAAATCTTGCAGGAGCCACACTCAGGATGATGTATGTTTTCGGTGAATTTTCCCGCGCATTTTCACTTTTTTCAAGCTATTGCTGTGCACAGTTGGCGCAATGCAATGAAAATTGATTATCTTCGCGCACGATGCACATGTTCGCGCAATCCCGGCCATCCTTTATTTTAGAAGAAATTTTCTCCAAAGTCATATGGCAACACTGAACACCGTCTGTTTACATTTTGTATGCATAACAGCCGCAGTTTACGATTACCGTACGTTCCGTATCCGACAAGGCGGACAACCGGAAGAGTCAGAAGTAACCCGGACATGTCTTACATTTTATTATTGTCAGTTCGACTCGCGTAGTCAATATACTCGCGTATATTGTTGACTAAAATAGTAGAACTATTTTAGAACCAACATTCTATAACATTTTGACTAAAATAGTAGAACTATTTTAGCTTTCTAAAGTACGGCGCACGGCGCATTTTTATACCAACGTAGTACGGCGCACCACGCAGGTCGTTAAAATGACAAAATAAATTCCCGTGCACCTGGCACATCTTCCTGACCATGGTGCAGGAGTAATGGCAGAAAAGCTATAATCCCAGCTTCAAATATCTATATATTTATCATATAATCCTAATGACATATAGGATTTCACACCAGCAGCCTGCAACTTCTGAGTGGCAAATTTTCAGTCATTGATGCAATCTTGCAATGGTGGTAGTCTGGTAGATATATTGAATGATTTGAAATTTATAACAATTCATTTACCTTAGCAGCTATTTAATAGATAATTAGCCCTATGTATTGACTTACCAACCACCATAAGGGTGAACTCAAAGCCTCGTTTCACACTTTTCCTGTGAATTTGATTTGGTAGATTAGCAAATCCAACGTAGCCAGGCATGTCTGGAGGTGTAAACTGAAATAAAAATTTCAATAGGTATAAACATTTATGGTATGCAAACAATTGGGATTAAATATAATATCTAAGTTTAAAATTGTTAACATATTGCAAGTAAGTGTAACATTTGATACGATTCACATTATTATGAATATTTTGCCTTTTCATTACAGTTACACATAGGACATAGACACAGGAAATCCCAACACAAGCCAAGCGCAAAGCCTAAAGTAAAGGCGTTGACGTTGAGAACGACGAAACAATTTCAATCAATAATTAAACCTTCTGACCTCCAAATAGCCATTAAACTAACACTTAGCAAATTATAAGTCCCGTACCGTGTCAGTAGACATATTTGAAACTTTAGTTCGGAACTTTAGCACTTGATTAGGAGTTAAAAACTTTCAGAGAGACTATCGCTGCTCCGTACGGCGAGCAAGTCGGCAACACGAGGGATTTGTTGACATAAAGCATAAGTGCCAGTCAAAAGAGAATCTTCGATTTATTGCATCTTAGTACGAACAATTTCAGTAAAATTTTTTACTAAAGTGGGGAAGTAGTATGAAAAATTGTAATTTAATATGAATTAGTTTAAATTGAACGAAGTTTTCAAATTTCGGGGTGCAACAGGAAGTTGATGAATGAAGGCGTGGTTTATGATCACAACGGACAAGGAGATCTTGTGGTCATCTGGTCCCGAATAATTTTAGTTATTACTTGCTCAATTTTAAGCAAAGAGATATCAATCATTAATGTAGATCATAGAAGAAGTAAATTAGAATCAGCGTGAGCTGCCTGAAAGCACAATTATAAATTAAATTTACATAAAACTTGCGATAGTAGTGTACTACTTACAGGATTTTTCTTCACTTTAAAGGATTTGGACGGGGTAAGAGGGGTCCTGGGTGTACTAGGAAGAGAGTCTGCAGGGCTTGAAAGAGGACTTTCAGACTGGAGTTGTTGTAATACATTGCTGGCCATGTCTGTAGAAATGAAAGACGTAATCTCTGAGGGTACGCGAAAAAATGAAGGATTAAATATAGTGACAATGAATATATAATTGATCTCACTTAAAATATTCAATTCAATGATCATTATTGATTGTCATTTACCAGTTAAGAGAGCTTGTTTTAATGACAACAACAACTTCAAAGTAAAAGAGCCAATAAAATGAGGCGAAACAAACTATAACTAGAAAAGTAGGTAGGCTAATAGTTTTTTTTCGATTGGCAGTAACGTATTTCAATTGACAAAGTTTGTTTTTGATTGGGAGGATTTAATTTTAAGTGACTTAATAATATGACACTGTTTAGCAGGTGAAGTTCAGTATGATCAAGAAGAACATCGAACAATTGGTTAGATTAACCGAAAAGGTAAATATCTCAAGATATCAAGTCTGCATAATGAAAACATATGCAAATGACATGAATAGCTCACTAACGTATCCGCATCATTAATAATATGCTGGACAAATTAGGCTATCGTATTGCAATTGAAGCGATGTAAAGTATTAATAAACATTATTAATTCAGTATTCAGACTAAAACCACTGCGGTTACAAATATAAAATTCCTATTGTGAGGAATGGAGGGCAAAACAAAGCGTTTGCTGTGATAGATGTGTCATTAGCTGTATAGTGAATGTACCATTCATAGATGCAACAAAGATCCTCGTCTGACCTTACACATTGGAACAGCGGAGCGTGCATAACAAACAATTCTTGCACAAGTTGTTGATTGAGTAAAACTTCTACTTGATGAATATTGAATATGACGCTTAGTGAAAGCTAACGACGAGAACATATTGCCGATCGTTCAGGATTAGCTGAATAACTGAAGAGCCTTCTGAGTTAAATGATTTTAGAAACAAAAAGAAAATGTTTAACGTTCTCATAGTGTTTGTTTTGGTGATATAAATGCGCAATAAATTTAAAATTCTGTCCCAGATTTATGATCCTTCCAGTTTACACTCTCCTTGATGTGGCAACTGCTTATCAACACACACCAGTAGCATGGCTTTAGAAAGCTATGTCACAAAATACAACGCTGCATTTTCTAAAGATGGTGAGAAGACAATGGTCTCGTCGCAGTTATGTCCAATATTCAGGGCATTGCGATATTCAATAAAAATGTACACCACAAACAAGGGATACAATATTTAAAAGCGGAGCCGGAATAATATTATAATTTTTAATTGGTCCAGTACTAAACTAAAGATATATTGCTCTTCAAGTTTACACCACCTAGTTTTAGAGTTCAATGACTAAGCATTACATCACGAGGTGCTTGCAGCGTGAGTACAACCATGGTTGAAATTATTAATTCAACCATGAGTACAACCCTATCTCAGGAGCTACAGGACGTGCTGCTGTGAGCGACTATAACCTCAAGCGACACAAAACGTCCGCTGCGACGAGCAAAAACCAACGTCGGGGCTCGGATGACATCACCAGCAGCGAGTACGTGTTTCTGTGTGCCTCAGAAGTCGCTGTTTCTTCTCAAAATAGGAGCTAGATTAACTCAACTAAACTTAAGATTTCCAGTGAAATTATACTAATGCTTATAATGAATAGATTTGTGTGTGAGCGTCAGAGTACAGTACAGAAATAGGGTCTAGATTAACTCAACTAATCTTAAGATTTTCAGTGAAATGATACTAATGCTTATGATGAATAGATTTGAGTGTGAGCGTCTGAGTACAGTACAGAAATAGGAGCTATAGATTAACTCCAGTAATACAAGGTTTGCACTGGCATGACATCATTGGTTATGATGAATAGGTTGGCGTGTTGACGTCTTAGCACTGATTGTGCCCGTATAATGTGGAGTAAACTTTTTAAATATTAGAGCCAGAAAAAGAGGCTCACGTTAGGATTTGTTATCGAATGAAATTATCGGTAATGATTGCATGAGCTGCACGTACTTGCAGGGTCGTATTGTTATCCTGTGTATGTAGTCAATATTTGGAATATGAAGTAGGAAAATAAGCAATACATACAGCTGAGTTAAATCAATAACATCAATTAATTATCTTGTTTGTATAATGGATATAAAATTCTGACGGTACCAGGGTTTGCTTTAACTTCACTGCATTGATACTCGATTCTTCCCCTTAAAAATTACAAGCCTAAAACGACTTCATCGATCCAGGCAAAATTAATCACATATTATGCAGGTAATACAAGAATAATCACATATTCTGCAGGTAATACAAGCGTCATCACATATTCTGCAGGTAATACAAGCGTCATCACATATTCTGCAGGTAATACAAGCGTCATCACATATTCTGCAGGTAATACAAGCGTCATCACATATTCTGCAGGTAATACAAGCG